TTTTTTTCCCCAAACCCACCTTCCCCAAGCGTGGGGAAATGGTTCAGAGGGGCCACGGCAGCGCGTGGAGGGGGACATAGGCGATGGGGAGAGGGGCTGCCCCGTGCCTGAGCACTGGCTTCTCTTTCCTCTAACGGTGCTGGAGAGAGCGAGATCGTCAGGGATGGGGCAGGGGTCTGCTGGTGCTGGTGGGAGCCCTCGTGCCCCAGAGGAGCCTCCTGCGGAGCACCTGCCTTGGCTGAACTCGGGCTCTGCCGGTGCCTTTTGGGCGGGTTTTGCTCGTCTGTTGGTTGGATTTTATTTGATTGGAAGTGGTTTGGAAGTGGGTGGTCACTGTCCTGCCCCCCATCAGCCAGGCTGGCCCACCCCGGGGCACCAGCGAAGATCCTGCTGTCGGTGTGTCCAGTGCCTGCTCGCCCATCCCTGCTTGGGAGATGTCCTGGGAAAGGGGAAAATCCCGTTGGTTTTGTACTTTGATGCTATGCAAGGGGAACACCCCAGCCCCCCGTCCCCGCTGCCTCATGTCCCTGACTTACACCTGGAAAAGCAAAATCTCTTTTCTGGTTCCAGGGAAGGGATCGCAGTTCTCGCCGTTCCGGAGATTGTTTCTCCCGGACATTTCCCAGCTGGACACACCACTGAGCACATGGCTGGGTTCTGGGTCCGGTCGAAGCAGGTCACATTCACGGTTCTGTTTGGGTCCCTTGGGGGCAAAGGGACATCACTGGGTGGGGACGTCACTGACGTTGGGATGGTCCCAGCAGGTACCAGTGTGTTTGGCTCACGTGCTGCTTTTTTGCACTGTCACGGCACAGGGGACTGGGCGAGAGGAAAGGCAGTTTTTCGTTTTAACGTTAAAAGACAACTGGGAAAAACATTCACAAGGATTTCCAGCTTGCTTTGTACCTTCCCAAGGCATTCCCAGTCTATAGTCTCAATTTCTACAGACTTGAATCTTCGACATGTACTTTATTGCTGCTGCTTTTCTTTAGACAGTGACACTTGGGGGTGATCCAGTGCTCGCGTCCATCCAGCCACTGTTGTGCGTTCATCTCTTTTCTCTCGCGGTGAGAAGCTGACGGATGTAGATCAGGCAGTTGTGTGACCTTTATTTGAGTCCAGGAATGCAGATTTAAGATTGTTTTGAGTAATTTTATTACAAACCAAACCACATCACATTCATCGCACCTCGGGTACGCGGGTTAATTACTCTCGGGGTACAAAAAGCTCCCCAAAGCTGAGCACCTGCAGTAGGTATCAGTGGAGCTGGAGCTCCGTTACGCTTTTCCACAAGATCCCAAACTTGAGCACCCACCATCCCGCCTGTGTTGGCCGTCGGGTTACGTGGGGATGTTATTTCAGCCTTATCCGCAATGGAAGCTGCTGGATAGAGAGCTGGCTGTCCAGCGACCCATGCCTGGGAAGAACCATCTTCACCATCCAGCTGCATTTTCAAACTCAAATGGTTTGTACTGGCCGGACAATGGACCATCTGACGTGACGGGGTGCTGCGCGTGTGCGGTGACTTGCTGCACCTCACCCTTGCTTTGGTGGCCAACTGGGTCATCACCGCGTGCCGTGAGCTGGGGGACGGCGGCCCTGGGCGCAGGAGGGGCTGCAGAGCGGGGTGGGTGGTCTGCTTTGCTCTTTGCTGCTTGTGTTTAGCGAGAGAGACCGTCAGGGTGCTGAGCAGGGTTTGATTTGTGATCCACAAGGCTGCTCTGGGTGTACCATCAGCCTTTCATTGGAGCTGAGCACTGAAGGCTCAGAGGGATCAGACAGAACTGGACAATCGCGAGTCGAGTGGCGAGCGGCTGGAGCTCGCTGGTTTGCACAGGGCGATGTGCTAAGGGCACAGGAAAGCAGCAACTGTTGAGGAGCTTCCCTGCAACGTCCCTTCTCATCCTTTATCACAATTAAGTTAAAGAGACGGGACCACTGCAAGCTCTGTTTTTATACCCTCGGGCGAGCGGGAGCTGACGCTGTTTTAGGAAGGAGGAGCAGGGAGGGGACCACATTTCCTACCCTGCACGAGCTGCTCTCCTTACTCTGCGGCACTGTCGGAATAAAAGTGCCGTGATTCTCCTTTCAGCTACAAGAGGGGTTAAGCATGAACGCCTGTTCCCATTGAGGATTAGCTTATAGGGCACAGGATCCTCTCCAGCGCTCCGTGGCAGCGCAACTCTGACAACAGCAGAGCCAAAGGGAAACCAGAGGAATGTCAGCGTTTAACAAAGCTCCCTGCTTGTTTTTACCAAAAAAAAAACCAAACCATGCCTCAAAAGATATTAAACAAAGGGAAACGTCCTTCATTCAACACTGTTCAAATCTTCCAGCGACTTCAAAGCTGCTCCACCGCTGCCTGCTCCCGCCCCAGCTCAGGCTTTGGTGATGTACCCTTCTCTGATAAGGAAGTCATAGATTTTCCGGGTTTTGTTCACGTCGATCTTGATGAGTGCTCTAGCCTGAGCCAGTCTCAGGCCTCCTTGTTTGTTGCACTCGTTCACCAGAGCAGCTTTATATTCCAAATAGGCTCCAGGGACCAGCCGCACCATCTGACAGAGCTGCAGAACAAAAGGTGAAGTTAATGAACACTCGCACTTGTCACGCGCTTTCACTCCGCGATCCCTGCTGGGGGAGGAACATTGTGAATATTTTTCTGAAAACATTTTAAATGTGGTTTGGTTTGTTTCTTTTTTTTTTTTTTTTTGCATGGAGGAGGCATACGGTAATTGCACTACGAGCTCTTTCGATCCACAGGTAGGGAGGGGAGGAGCTTGCTGGCTGCTGCATTCAAAAACATTCCTGACTAAAGAATAAACCAGGAGGATGAAAGCGAGCTCCCAGCTCCCAGGAGCGCAGCTATGAGTGTGTCCTGCGTGGGCGTTGCTCGCTAAGAGCCCAGGGAAGCACGCATGCCAGAGAGCCTTGCAGCTGGCAGTGGGGTGTGCTGGCCGGGGGCAGCGAGGGCGGCTGGCTGCTCGTCCCTGCAGACCCAGCCTCCACCACCGTCCCACCAGGATGGGAGCTGTGCACAGAGGGCGTTACGTGTTTGGCAGTTTGGAAAAAAGGAATTGCTTCCGCAAGCCCCCGTGCTCCACGGTGAGGCTGCGACGCTCCCGTTTATCTCCCAAAGACATCCACCTTCTCGACGGTGCCCGGTATTGCTCCCAGGGGAGACCCTGGCTGTCTCCTCCTTTTAATAAGGAAAAGCTTAATGATTGTTCCTCCTTGCTAGGAAATTGCAAAATTCAGAGGAGCTCAGCCTTGACGTCTCAGCTAGCGAGGAAATCAGACTCCCCGCACACGCTAACGTCCTGCTGACAGTGATTTCTGTGCTGAAGGGAGCCAGCAGTGCCACGCTCACGGTGAGGCTGCGATGGGATTTGCAACGCTCCCATCCCCAGTGATGGGGAAACGGCTTCCGCGCAGAGGGAAAAGCCCTAAATACATCTGCCTTTCACGTATGCTGAAACCTAAGGACAGATGAGGACTTCTAATTAAAAAAATATAATATTTTATTCTAATAGGCCTCTCGTGGGGGTTGCCCCGTGGGTTGCAGCCCCATTTCTGGCTGCTCTGCTCTTCCCTGGGCTTGAGGTGACGGTGCAAGAGCACCCGGTATGGGGCTGCAGGCTGAGCTAGCACAAAGCCAGCTTCCATCCTCTGCCACACGGGCACACAAAAGGCTCGGTACATGCCCTGAAAAGCAGAGATATGGAAAAACCATGAAAAGAAGAATCCAGCGTTAGTGCCTCCGTGGTTCCCATTAGTGTCACGGGGAAAAACCCCCCATCCCTGGCTGGGGCTTGGCTGTGAGGTGTCTGTGATGTCAAAAAAAGCTACAGTGATCTGTCCAGTGAAGCCCTCAGCATCATCCTCTGCCAATTTGAAACCAGATGGTCGTTAAGGAAAAATAACCCTTCTGCTCACCCCGGCCTCACAAGGGAGGAAGCGAGGATGCCACACTGGATGCTGTAATGACACCTAATAACACCCTGGCTCTCTGCACCTTTCCGGGCTAAATAAGCTGGTCCCCTGCAGCTGTGTGTATGGATAGTGCAGGAGCTGCAATTCAGAGGGCAACTGGCAAACCTGGATGATTTTTCTGAGCAGGAAAGAGCAGTCAGAGGGTGATATTCACAGCCCCCAAGACAGATGGTGCGAGCACCCCTGTGCTGTGAAGATAAAGTTGAACCCAGCTTATCTTTCCGTTCCTTTCCTCACCTCCTTCTCCTTCTCGTTCAGTTTCTCTGTCCCCGGGAGACCCGTGAGGTTCAGCGGGGGGGCACTGCGTCTACCTGCGGGGACAAGAAGGGGAACACTGCAGAGGATGTGTTATCGCAGAGACAGTCCCCTCCCCGTGACGGTAACCGGGTACGATCCCAGTGGCTATGGACAGAACCCGGTGCGATCCCAGTGGCTATGGACAGAACCGGGCGCTGGGAACGCTCCTGTCGGAGCTGTTAACCCCGGCTGGCTGCTGGTAGCAGGAGCCGCAGCACAAGAGCGCTCTGTCTGTCCCATTGCCACTGGGCTGTCCCTCCCGACGGAGCCAGGCCAGGGTGGTGGGTGCTGGCGCAGGGTGTGCCGGGCGTGCACGGCGTGCGGGACCGGCTCCCGGCAGGGGTGGAACCAGCGCCTTGCGAGATGCTGAGATTATCTATTGGGGTGATTTGCAGCCAGTGCTCTGGCATTGCCGATAACTTCCCGACGCAGAGTTTCCTTTAAATGCCTTTAAATGTGATGCAGATACTGTAAGCAAATGCTGTCTGGGGATTTGTCTGTTACGAGGAACAGTGCTAAAAAAATCCATCACAAAGCAGTCTGATAGTTCTCACTTTCGCTGTTGTTTATAACTTTGCTGAACTTTAACTAGCACAGCTTGAGCTTTCACATTTTTTTCTAATAGTATTTTTTTTTTTTTAACGTCCAGAGCTCAGAAGCAAGCTGGGGTTATTTATATACATCTGAGAAGGTCTGTTGCCCTGTGCTGCAGGTTGTGTATTTAGCACTGTTAGAGATAGGTCTCTGCATCCCAGGACAGATGTCCCAAATTTGGAGAAGGGATGAGATCTTGGAAAACCTGCAGCTCCAGTTTCCCCAGGACTGTGCTGGCCACAGCTCCAGACCCTGCCCTGCCCGGTCCTGCCTCCGGGACAGGGGAGTCTCTATTTTCCCTGGACATCTGTAGGGAACAGATGGAATCTGGCCGGGTGAGGGGAGCCTGGTCAGAGAAAACCGAAGGACTGGAAAGAAGCTGGAGCAGTGAGTCTCTGGTACGTTTAGAGGAAGGTATTTCCTCTTTCTACGGCCTGGAATGACCGTGCTATGATGAGACACGACAGAATTTGGTTTTGCTCTTTTATAAACCTAGGAAATAACACATACACACAAACTACATTAAAGAAAACATATTAAGGCTGTGAAGTCAAGATCTCAAAATCTACAAGTAAAGTTAGGCAACGTTAATTTGCCCTCTTGTATATGCAGGATGATGCAGCCTTTAATTATATAGACACGTGGCAGTTTTTCCGCAGTATCCTTGCCTTATTCAGCATGCAGGATGTTTGCTTAATTAGCAACTATATGGTATTTTGTTTGGGTTTTGTACAACATGTGACACAGGCTGTAAACACCGCATGCTCTCCGAGTTCCACCACCAGAACTATTCCTGTTCTCTTGGGCTCTGCTCCTCACGGGCCACTGGATACCTGACAAATAATTCATTTCTCATACTGGCCCTTCAGCTGGGGGATGCTGTCCCCATTTCATGGACTCTGGGTGCCCAGCCTGAGATACACAATGTTCTTTTCTTTCCAAAATACCAGATCTTAGCGATCACCAAACGCGTTTGCAACACGGTGTGTGCTGCAGTGACTAAGGGCTTGGTGTGCTGACCCACTTCCAGGGCTCCTGGCAGAACGAGGAAGGACATACAGACCCAGTGTCCACCTCTGAGATGTTTGGTTCAAGTGGTCTGCTAGCATCCACGTAAAAACTGGATGCAGAGACAGAGCTAGTTTTCCCTGGCAACATTTACCAGCCTAATAGTAAAACTTGATCCCAGTCTCGTTCAGCACATGCCACCCTGTGACCTCAACAAATGAGACAGGATGTTATACAAGTCTTGCTCACAAAAGCCTTGACTGACCCCTGAACCCGTCCTTCCTGGGCACTGAAAGAAGCAGGGCTCCTCTTGGTGGAAAAAATTGTAATTTGTGATTATAAAGAATATAAAAGCATATTAATGGAAAAGGAAAGCTGCAGTTTCATAGGCAACCTGTATCATCTCATTCTGTCCCTCTGCAGTGCCTGATGCTGCAACCACTGCCTGCTTCTCGGGTGACTGCTTTTTGGGGTTCTGCACTCCCAAACTTGCTTGCTGTCACGTTCACATTGCTATGGTATGTGCTATGCACATAAAAAGCCTGGATTGGCCTTCTCTTTTAAAGATAACATTTTGTTCTCATGTGAAAATTCTTTTCTTTCCCGCTGTCGTGGTTTTGACCCTGGCTGGCAGCCTAACACCCCAACAACCGCTTGCTCACCCTCCGCTGAAAGCAGGACACCCGCCTTGTTAATGTAGTGTTAGGATGGGTTTTCCACCTGTAGGCAGAAAAATCTAGAAATTCGGCAAAAAATCCTACAAGATTTGGGCAGGGAATGAGTTGCAGATTGAGGTGATGTTGACATAAGCAGTGCTTAACAGAATGCTCTTACTGATGCAGGCTGGCTTACTATCCCAGACCCTCACCCGACAGTTACCTGAATTTGAAGGAACTGGTACCGTGGGACTCAGGCCGGAATCACTGAAAAGAAAGGAAATATTCAAATTGCTTTTTTTTTTTTTTTTTTAGAATAACTGCATATATATTGGCCCTGAAACTATTTTTTTGCCCAGCTTCTAATAATCATACAATGCAACTTGCAGAACCCAGGCCCTGATCTGAAGTCAACAGGATTTCTAAATATTTGGCACTTCCAGATTTAAGACAATGTCTGAAACATGCTGAAAAAAAAAAAAGGGGGATGGTGGTGGGGGAGATAATTAAAAATGCAGTGGAGACTGACTGGGGAAATTACAAATCGTCTTCTCAGAGCGTGTGGCACGCAGGATGCACTTCCTCTGCGTTGCAGCTTGCTCCTTACATCAAAGTGCTCGTGCAGGGTGACGACACATTAATAACGCTGCTACACCTAGAATCATCCGAAACATCTCAAGTGTCACCTGTGCCCTCATTAATACCCATAGAGTCCCAATTCCCTCTGTGCCTTTATTAACGGCAGTGAAATTCCTGAAATATAAAATACAGAAAACTGCGATTCTGAGCCCTCGCTCAGTCCCCTGCTGTTCCCCGCAGCTCCTCGCCCTCCTGCATTGCGCCGGCTAGTGCGATAAATTGTGTTTGTTACTCTCAGACAGAAAAATGTGCTGGATGCCCCTGTCTGACTAGAGCAGGGG